ATAGTTTAATGCTTTCATCCCAAGTTAGATTTCCATTCGCCTTTCGATATAATCATGAAGCCATCATGTACCCATGGAAAGGCGAACCTGCGAGATCTCAGCATCTCCGGCCTCGGCGTGACGCGAACATGTGCGAACCGCGCCAGTGCATTTGTCTGCAAAATCAGGGAACATCTATCAAATCCCGTCTCCATGCGGTTGCACCATCCCAAATCATTGCAACAGGTGCCATCCGAAATACACCGTGATCTTCATGGACTGACCAAGGATCCCTCAGATTCCGAGAAAACAGGTGATGCGCGTTCGTCACGGATTCTCAGGTCAACAAATGCAACCGGATTTGCTTTTTCGGAACCGGGAAAACCAGACTTCCCAGAAGAGGATTGATGCACACGGAAAAAAACATCACCAGAAGCAAGGGTTCTGGGTCAAGAACGGGTGCGTTGTCCATGTACCATTTAACGGCGGTCGTTGTACCATTTAACGGCGGTCTTCCGGTGGGTGTGTGAAATATGGCGTTTTTCATACAACAGGCACAACGGGGAAGGAGATTTACCCGACCTAGTTTCTGAATTTCATTTAAAAAATCGTGTCTTTGGAAGGGTTTCCCCAAGACAGTGGCCCCCAATAAGCCGTTTCCATGACCCAAACAAACATATAAAAAGACCTCATCCCGTGAGTCCCCATATCCCATGAGCCCTCCCCACCACGCCTCAAATGCCACCTGCATGCTGCCAGCCTCGCGGACCCGTTTCTCGGAGGGTCACAATAGATCCCGATGGCCTCCAATGACTGTGGGTCATGGCACCTCAAAACCCTGGGGACCCCGGGCTATGGCTGGAACAGATTCCTCGTCTGTTCGGGATGCCGCTCCCGAGCTCCCATGGGGACTGGTGGAGCGACCTGATTCACAGCCTGTTGTCGGCCCTGGTGAGGGAGAAGTAGGTCCCAATGGATGTCCAATACTGCTTGCCGTGCTTGCTTCTTCGAAGTCAATGAAGCTCATTTGTAGGCACAATGTCTTCAAGCATGTTTGGACCTCTGGGTAAGTGGCGCAATCCAGCTTGCATAGTCTCACTCCAACCTGCAGCAATACTGCACTGCATCCTGCATGTTGACTCAATGGGTCTGTCTCAAGATCAGGCTCCGTCGCATTCCATCAGCGATGATATGTATACTCCACCGCCCCAAACGCACGCCGCGCCGCGGCTATCAAAGAAGACCGTCCAGGCGATCCAACCGGGAGGCGATCCAACCCGAGACGAACAGTCTTTAGAAGAAAAATATTCAGAAGAAAAGTCTTAGAAGGAATCCTCTTATTCCTGGTGACTTTTCGTGAATAATCCTCTATATTCAAACAAGTCTTTATTATCTTTTGTAACAAGGATCCTTTCAGGTGACTTAGCTATCCATTGTGGACCAAGATAGGCCAAGTCAGTATCACACAGAATCCTAACTGACCAATAAAGCAAAGAAGACACGATAAACCAAACTTCCAACAAAACCAACAAATCAATCATCATCCAACCAACTCCCTCTGGTGTATATGCAGCCATCACATGCCATCACCATCTTCCTGGCCATCACTCAGCCATCCCGATCTTTCTCGCCTCAACCAGCCCGCTCAGGTTCTTCAGGAGAAAGACCAGCCATGGAGCAGAAGTCTGAGGTTATCCCAGCGGGAGGGATTGCTGGTCTATGTCTGGGGTTACTCCGTTCGAACCCAGCGACTGCGGGGCTTCTCCGGTTCTGTCGCGTGTTCCACGTGGCGCATGGTCGTTGGAACCATGGTCTGGAACACCCGTGAACTAGTTGTTGGGCGGGTTTGGAATCTTTCGGGTGATGAGATCTCATGTTCGTCACACGAACCTCCTTGAGGCGAAGTTTGCGGTGTTCTCGGCCCATCTTGCTTCTTGGTTCAAGTGATTCAAAGCCTGGGCGTGTTTGAGCTCATCCCCACGCCGCTTCTGTGCATTGGGACATGGTCATCTGCTCCTATCGTCAGGTGTCGAAGACCAGTTGCCGTCTGCGATTCTGCGATGTGGCTGTGTGTGGTCGAGAATGAGGGCTCTGAACTGTCCAGCTTGCATACCCTCTGGATCCAGGCATACTGTCATACTCTGCGGTTTGATCTAAGCAACCCAAGCTCAGGTAGCTGAAGCTGGATGCACCGGCTTCAATCCATGCCATTCCTTTGATGTGATTGTTTTTTTCATGTTGCAAAATGATGAATCTATCTTGGGCCGCAAAGTCTCGCGGCTATGCTAACGACGTCAGGACCTTCCTCTTAACTCAACCATGTTGCCGATGCAAAGTCTTGATGCGCCTACCCAGCGGACACTGTTAACTTGTCGTATTTGTGTAGCCAAAGAGCAGTCAACATGACTATCGCTTTTGCTTGATAGTGTTGTCCGTCACTTAAACATATGTCTTGTGACTTGTGATTGATTACTGTCTGCAAAAATATATGTTGGCAAGATTCGATCAGCTGATTAATGGGGCTTGTGGCACTGAGGGCAGAGGGAGCTTCATGTCATTTTTTCTGGCTGAAGAGTTTGGAGATTACACCACCTGGACAAGCCCATGTGGCTGCTTGATTTAGAAAAAAGTAAATACACTTTCCTGCGAGGGTTGACGAGAGTCCACCAGCCATTTTCCCTGAACTGCAGCATTTGCAGCGTTCGGGTAAAGGTGAAAGGGAACCAAAGTCCATAGGCACACATCAACTGCTCTTACCAAAGATTCACAGCGACTATACACAAACATGTTGAAAGGGGTTTTATGCTGTAACTTGCCCCAACTGTTTTGAACATTCCCTTTATTCTCCGGAAGAACAACTGTCATGCTGAAAAGTAACAGGTGGAAGAACGCAACACGTGCACAAACCAATCACTGGAGCTTTACTTTCCAGCTCAGCACCAATCACTGGAGCCCATGCTCACCCCCGAACCCAGAACCCGTATGTTTCCATGAGAAAACATCACCACGTGTTCAACAAAGGGCTGAGTACCATTTTCATCTATTTTCCCCACATCGGAGCAAGTAAAAAGAAAAGTACTACGTAGCGTGGGAACCTGCTCGGAAACTGACACGTGGCTTAACAAAAAGTGAACACTCTCTCAGAATTACAAGGACAAGAACGAAACGACCACAAAATCAGAAGTCCAGTCAAGAGACATCACACCTGTCATCCCTTTTTGCGGAGCTTGAGCATCTGTCAGTGGCCCAGGTGTGCTGCGCAGCTACTGGGCACATCCGCTTGTCTTTTGGTGGAAAAGGGCACATCGACACAACTCGGCTGTTCCCTAATGAATTCTTCCACATCTCTCCCGAAATTCCCTGGAGCCCATGCTGACGTTCCGAGATTGTTACACTGTTTCTTCCTCCCCATTTCCCCATTGGACTCCTGGATACCTCTCCTTCAATTTTCCTGCAAACATGAGTCCAAATATGTCCAAATGCCCCTGAAGAAAAGAACAATGGCACTTGTATGGCACTAGTTCTAACTTTAAATTGTGCACCTTACATGAGCCCTAAGACTTACTGTAAGAATCATTTAATTATACAATTTTACACCCCTGTTTCCCTAGCCCCTTCTACTTGGGAAAGATTGACCTCTTATGATTTGGGATGCTTTCGGTGTCACCCCAACCTCTCACAACTGAAAACTCCCAGAGCCACAAGGGGCGCTGGGACGCACCGCAGTGCTCGGACATTCTTTTACTTTTGGGGATCTGCTTGAGGCGCTGAAGCACCGGAAGCCAAGCTGAAATTCAGTCAATGTTGGGTTTGGGCACCTAAAATCCACAGGTGTTCAAGGCTTTTGCACCTCAAATCGCTGTGTTAAGTTCCTCATAGGCAACGTCAAAGACCCAGGCGCTTTTCGGGAAGACCCACGGGCCGCGACGTTACGGATATTGGAGGAGTCGACGACTCGGCCAACGTTACGGGGTCTCTGGAAAACAGGTGGTGATTGCTTGGAGATGATAGGTATGTTAGGTACATCCCATTCCCTGCAACAGTGGACAAAGATGCTCAGTAACGACCTTTCTCCAAAAGAATAGTGGTCTTCTTACCAACTGGGACACACCTTAGTTGTATATGTAACAACGGCAACGAGCCGTCAATATCATTTGGCTGTGATTCTTGGACATCGAAGACAACGACGGCGACTACAAGAACTTCTGAAGGACCAGGACAATGATTGCTACAAGGGGTATTACCGGCTATTCAAACAGAACACACACACAGAATGCAATTACCATCATGACCATAAATAAAGCAACATCAAACTAGTTTAATTATGGTTTAATGTTCATGAATGTTCATGAGGTCTCGCTATCTTGTTTTCGTCAATGCGGATGTCCACATGCGCGCTTCACACATCTTAAAATAGGGTCCCTCTGAGGCTATCGGCTGACGCTGGCTCTGTCACATCGGGGAACCGTCCGATCGTTCCATTCGTAGCGATGCCCTTTGTTCCTTTCGTAGCGATGCCCTTTGTTCCTAGTAGTAAGGCCAGGAGCTTGTTCGTGACCTGCTGAGCCATGGAGGCTGAATGCTTCCTCAACAACAACCGAACTGACTGCTGTCACTGTCCTCTTCTCACCAGGTGGAACATTCTGTTGAATGTGCAAGAACAAATGTTCCTTACTCAGGGTAAACGTCAATTTGCCCCAGCCATCATCGCAATTTTAAACCTGGACTGCTTGCAAATTCCCTACATGGTGCCCGCCAGCAAAGCATGCTGCAAGGGAAGCATTCCGTCCTGTCCAAAGCGACCAACTCTCGGTCGAAACTCTACAATTGTCGAGCATTAAAATTTTGGAACGGCCGGTTTTGAAGAGAATCTCGGGCCACCAACCAAATGAAACAGGGTGTCAGGATCGTCTCAATGCACCTCAAATACTGACCTTCTCAACCAAACCGCTTGACCTGAACAAACAAACACAATGCTCTTCTAACTACATCCAGTTTCACAGCCATCCGATAGATGATAATCCTCCTCCCCAAGGTCTGCTTGTGGCTCGCCTTCTCTGGGTTTCCCCCCTGATCTCGAGTGACACGGACCCTCAATCTCTCTCACCCAGCACTCGTGATTTCAGATGCAACCACTGCAGCTTTCATGTCGGACAACTCGATCCGGTCCTGGCTCCGGCTATCGTGGACCAGTCCATCGTGGATCTTGTCGAGAAAAAACACGTTTATTCATGTGTCTTGTTTATTTGGTTTCCTCTCCCACTTTTGGCCTTATCAATTGATGTTCTTCTTTATCGCTTTAATGTGCTTTGACTAGCTGCAGCCTTTGTAGATTTTGTAGTGTACTGCCTACTGCAACATTGGTAGTGAACATTCGTGTTCAATGCATGCATTTGTGCTGTAGACATGATGCCATGGCGCACTTCATTCCAGTACAAACATCGATTTCTATGCGCAAACAAAGACTGCAAAGCACCATTGTCTTTGTGGGGGTCGACAAACCGTTTCATATGAAGGGTTGTCCATGTTCAGGTTATTGTCAATATATTATATTGTTTCAATGTTCCTCCTTATCGTTTTACGGTGGATGAAACATCTTGCTGGCAAAACAGGCATGCGAAGACCAAATCGGTGAACGGCGGGGTTTATAGACTCTCACCTAGTCTTCTGATGTCCTGTTCGTCACAACGCATTGGATCCTGACATGATCAGCATCCCTTTTGCATTCCTTCCCCCTCCGAAAAGTTGAATTCTGCCGTGATGGGCTCCAACCCGCTGTGACCTGCTAACCAAACCAAGTCAGCAAAAATGGCTGGTGAACACCTTTCGCATTTTTCGGAGCTGTTTCCCCTCCCGCAGCTGACCGGTTCACCGGGTTCACCCACCGCTGACCGGTTCACCCGGGTCCCGGTCACCTCCTTGAAGCCGAAATGGGATCGCTCAAAGGTGATCCTCGGACCGACTCGGACCGATGCTGTGGGGTGAGTGGGGGGCTCCTCCGAGCCCCAAGCTCAGCTCCGTCCTGATGTGCGTACGGGGAAGAGTCGAGTTTTGGGGTGTTTTTCTGCTGCCAAAAGATCCATAGACCAATTGGTGGTATTTGGTGGTACACTTGGGGTATCCCTTATGACCAACTAGTGGTGAAGGTAATCTATGATCCCCTGTTTCATCCTTTTCCTGCTCAGCACAGCTCAAGAGGTCAACAAACCGATGGTTACGTCTATCCGCGGATAAACAGCCAGCGCGAATCCTGGGGCTCCGATTATCACCGTATGTATGCATGTCATTGCATGTCAATGTCTCCGATATCACCCTCTCTTTCCATGGAGTTTGGTTCTATCACACTGATAACCCAGCTACCTCTTTTTGGGCAAAACTCTGGAGAAACATCTTCGTGTGGAAAGCCATCTTTCAAAGAACCTGCCTTCTAGTGTGTGCCTGGACTTCAAAGTCCCAATCTGTAGCACCCAAATGGATCTGCCCAGGCTCACACAGCGGGGGACTTCCAAGTAAGGCATCTCCTGCCGTACTCGGGCAACGCCACACGGACCGACGGCGGGAGCAGTTCGATGTTCGTGGCGGAGGAATCTTGCTACTCTTCCGCAATCCAACAGTATTTGCACAGCTCTAGAAGTCTATCTTTTGGATAGTGAAACGGTTGGGGTGAATAGATCCCCCCTTCACTCGAAGAACGGCGACGCCTCGGTCTAGCAGTGAGACGTTGCGGCAGTTCAAGGACGGAACAGGGTCCTTTTGGCCAAGTGCGAGGGCTGCATTTATCGTTGGCTGGGTGCTTCTCGACTGTCTACAGGTGATAGCTCCCCTGTTTTTGGCAGGCGACCAATTCAAGTTCAATGCTCAGGGGAACTGCGAACCCCACATCTGCCTTGTGGATGGGCTCTGAAACCACCCTTACAAACATGGGAAGCCTGTATTTCAAGCAAAGGGCAAGGATCGGCAAGGAACCAAAAGAAAACAAAATCACACAGTGCTAATAACGCACTGCAATTCAAGAAGCATATCTCGCACCACATGCTTTTGCAAACGACCAAGCAGCAATCAACATATCAACGTCGAAATCGACAACACACGCCGTAGATTACGGTGACTTCAGTGGGGGCGGTTGGGTCGGCGGCTAGTGCTTTGCAAAAAACGTTCGATGTTTTCGGTGCCCACGTTTGTCTCCAAAAGCCGAAAGCATCAGTGGCCCTGCGAGAGCGGGTGATCATGGAAGGCAGGTGGCGGCTAGGGGCGGGGAGCGTTTGCCCTGATGTGGCGCAACTTTTTCAGTCTTTAACATGCTCGTCTGGGTACTGTACATCCTTCCTTCAAGATAGCTCCAAACGACATCAAGTGACCACAAGAAGCGAGTTATGCAGTCCAAGTTGACTTGCATTGTTTGCATTTTATGTTCAAGCAACAAGCAACAACAACAACAACAACAAAAACAACATAATCTTAATTAATCAACAACATCATCATCATCATCATCATCATCATCATCACAACAACAACATAAAGCATCACCACAACAACACCAACAACAACCAAAACATCAACCACCACAACAACCAAAACATCAACCAC